AAATGGATCCAGGCATCACCCCGCAAGAAATGAGAAGAGAATGATCGAGGTCCCAGTGGTTGAGATCTAATGAGCAAAAATGGGTTCGATAGACTGCTCGGGAGTATGTAAGCACCGAGATTATTAGAGTACAACTTCAACGAGGACGTTTCCAGCATCGTGTCAACCATAGGGTGCATCAAAGAAACCAAGTGGTCCCAACTATTGCAGTCCGACCCTACCTACAGAGATTCTAATTTGATGTGTAAGTGTCATGGCACTTACGGTCACAAGACCAAAGATTGCAGATAGTTAAGAAAAGAAGTTTACTCTGTTATTCAACAACGAGCACCTCGAGAATTCCTAAGTGAGTGAGCCAAAAACCACTTCAGTAATAGGGACACCAATAAACAGATTGACAAGAGGAGCCTCAGCACGTGATTAACATGATCATCGGAGGAGTCGATGTTCCCCAAGGGCCAATGATAAAACGCACTAAAGTATCTATCACAAGGAAAAAATGAACCGGGGATTATGTTCCGGAGGGAGCCATTTTGCTCAGTGAAGAAGATGCCAAGGGCATTGTACAGCCTCACAACGATGCACCGGTAATATCCGTACTTATCAATAAATGTCGAGTTAAACATGTGCTGGTTAATCCAGGTAGCTCAACCAATATCATCAGATCAAGGGTTGTAGAGAAATTGGGGTTAGAGGACCAAATTGTACCAGCAGTTTGGTATTGAACGGATTTAACATGGCGTGTGAGACCACGAAAGAAGAGATAACCTTGACAGTAAACACCGTCGGGACAATCCACGAAACGAAGTTCTACATGATCGAAGGGGACATGAGGTACAACACTCTATTCAGAAGGCCATGGGTCACGATATGAGGGTGGTACCCTCGACCTTGCACCAGGCATTGAAATTTCCCACCAGGGGGAGTCAAAACGGTCTACGGAGAATAACCGGCCACAAGGGAGATGTTTGCTATCAACGAGGTAATCCCGGCGCCCACAGTTTCAACATCAAGGAACACAGAGTCGACCAAAAAGGAAGAGATTAAATAACAATCACTGATATCGGCCTCAACCGAACTGGAGGAACATGAAGAGACGAAGAGGACGAATACAACATACCGAGATCATTCATAGCTCCTGATGACACTGATGCCACCAAATCAACGGTTGAAGAGTTAGAGCAAGTCATATTAATTAAGCATCTACCGGGTCGAAAGGTATACCTGGGCACGGGGTTAACCTCCAAGCTCAGGAAAAAACTTATTGATTTTCTTAAAGGTAACACCGATTGTTTCGCTTGGTCCCATCTTGGCATGACAGGGATCCCACCAAAGGTAACCACTCACAAACTAAGCTTGGACCCAAAGTTCCATCCAGCTAAGAAGAAGAGAAGACCACAATCAGAGATCAAACATGCGTTCATCAAGGATGAGGTATCCAAACTTCTAAAAATCGGATCCATCTCGAAGGTCAAATACTCGGATTGGTTAGAAAACATAGTGGTAGTACCTAAAAAGGAAATAAACTAAGGATGTGTCTGGATTAAGAAGACCTAAATAAAGCATGTACAAAGGATTCTTTCCCTTTTCCTTACATCGATCGAATGATTGACGCGATGACCAGGCATGAGATACTCAATTTTCTCGATGCCTACTCTGGGTACAACCAAATTCGGATGGACCCGAACAATCAAGAAAAGACTTATTTCATAACCAAATTCGACACCTACTGCTATAACGTGATGCCATTTCGATTAAAGAACGCAGGTGCCACCTACTAATGCCCAGTAAACTTGATGTTAGAAGAACAAATAGGGAAATCAGTGAAAGTTTATATTGATGATATGTTGGTCAAGTACTTGTGAGCAGAGGAACATTTGAAACATTTACAGGAAACCTTTGACATATTAAGGAAATACAACATGAAGCTATACCTGGAAAAATGCACATTCAGGTCAGTTCGGGTGTATTCCTTTGATTCAAGGTATCTAATCGGGGAATAGAGATCAAACCCAACAAAATAAAGGCCATAGAGGATATCACTGTTGTGGACAACGTCAAGGTGGTTCAAAGACTGACCGGGCGTATAGCCGTATTGGGCCAGTTCATCTCGAGGTCTTTGGAAAAGAGCCATCGATTCTTCTCACTATTAAAAAAGGAATTACTGCTCACCTCGGGGGTGGGGGTGGGGTGGGGGGGTAATTCGGGAATCTAGGTCTTATTCACGGACGGTGCCTCCAACATGAAGGGGTCTGGACTTGGTATCATGTTAAAACCACCTGTGGGAAGCATAGTTAGGCAGTATATTAGAACTATAAAATTGACTAACAATGAAGCCGAGTATGAGGCCATGGTTGCAGGTCTAGAACTGGCTAAGAGCCTTAGGGCCGAAGTGAACGAAGCCAAATGCGACTCCTTCATCATCGTAAATCAAGTCAATAGATGCAGAGGTACTTGACAAATTGCAGGTAACCCTGAACCAATTCAAGGAATATACTCTGCAGCCTATAGCCCGAGATCAAAATAGTGAGGCCGATGCACTAGCTAATTTGGGGTCGTCGGTTGACTCCAATGAATTCAGCTCAGGGCTAGTAGTACAACTGATGAACTCAGTGATAGAAGAAGTTCACGCCGAATTAAACTCAATAAGTTTGACTTAGGATTGGAGAAAAAAATACATAGACTACTTAAAGACAGGAAAATTACCTTCGGATCCCAAAGAACCAAGAGCCTTGCACACCGAAGCTGCCAAATTTAGCTTAGTCAAAGGGAATTGTTCAGGATATCTTTCTTTGGCCCACTGGCCAAATGCTTAGGATCGGGAGAGACCGAATATGCCATGAGAGAAGTGCACAAGGGAACTTGAGGAAACCATTCGGGGGCAATCCTTAGTTCGGAAGCTAATTAGAGCCGGCTACTACTGGACTGATAGAGAAGTATGCAAAAGACTTTGTACGAAAATGCGATGAGTGCCAAAGACACGCCTCGATGATACATCAACTAGGGGAGATGCTTCACTCGATCCTATCACTGTGATCGTTTATGAAGTGGGGAATGGACATCGTTGGTCCCCTACCATGGGCGCCCAGTAAAGTTCAATTTATAACATTCATGGCCAATTATTTTTCCAAATAGGTTGAGGCTCAGTCGTTCGAGAAGGTACAAGAGAAAGAAGTCATTGACTTCATCTAGGATCACATAATATGTCGATTTGGGATACCAGTCGAGATCGTTTCCAACAACGGAAAACAATTCATCGGCATCAAGGTGAGTAAGTTTTTAGAAGATCATAAAATTAAGAAGACATTATCAACGCCTTATCACCCTAGTGGGAACGGGCAAGAGGAATCAACGAACAAAAATATACTCCAAAACCTAAAAAAGAGGTTGACC